CCCCCGGAAAAAAAAAAAAAAAAAAAAAAAAAAAAAAAGAATTAAAGAAATGCATGAATTGTAATGTTGACTCACACATTTTAAAAATTCAACTGTCTTACCAGCAAAGAGCAGCAACTAGAGGTTCCATTTGACCCAGCCATCCCTCTGCTGGGTATCTTTCCAAAAGAATTAAGAGTATCATATCACAGTGATATATGCACACCCATGTTTATAGTGGCACAGTTTGTAATAGCTAAAACTTGGAAACAGCCCATTCGCCCATCCGTTGGAGATTGGATTAAGAAGATGTGGTTTTTCTTTTTTTTTTTTTTTATTGAGTTTATTGGTACATTTAGGGATACAGTACAGTTACATTCATTGTTGGGATCATGTGCCTTTACATGGCAAGTCTTGATTCTCATTTTTTCCCCTTACCTCTGCCCTCCCTTCACCCCCTCCTCCCCTCCCCATCTACAAACACTTTATTTCCATTTTTTCATTTTCTCATATTTTTTCTTTTCCCTTTTTGTTCTTCCCCTACGTATCACACCTTCCCTACACCTTTAGCTCCTTTCCTCCCATTTCTAAATGTCAGTAATCTTATTAGAATCTTATGCATTGTTGCAGAATATTCACATCAGGGAAACTATTTGGTATTTACACGTGTGACTTATTTTACTTAGGAGCATATCCTCAATATGTATCCATTTTCCTATGAATGAATCTATTCTCTCGCTCTTTATGGCTGAGTAATATTCCATTTTATAGAAAAACCACATCTTCCTCGGTTTTTCTATAAAATGGAATACTACTCAGCCATAAAGAGCGAGAGAATAGATTCATTCATAGGAAAATGGATACATATTGAGGATATACTCCTAAGTAAAATAAGTCACACGTGTAAATACCAAATAGTTTCTCTGTTGCGAAAAACTATAATAGTACATAAGATCCTAATGATATAATTGACAATGTGAAATAGGAAGTAAAGGGCTAAAGGTGTGAGAAAGTGGAAAGGGTAGGGGAAAGGGAATAAGGGAAAAGAAAAAATATGAGAAAATGAAAAAATGGAAATAAAGTGTTTGTAAATGGGGAGGGGAGGAGGGGGTGAAGGGAGGGCAGGGACAAAGGGAAAAAATGAGAACCAAGATCTGTCATGTAAAGGTACAAGATCCCAATAATGAATGTAACTGTACTGTATACCTAAAATGTACCAATAAACTCAATGAGAGAAAAAAAAGTCTTACCAGATCAGCAAACATTTTCTTTATTTGATTGATTGATCAAAACCAGGTGGATGCACTACATAAATAGTGAATAACTACATCCCTGACCTTTTGTTTTTACTTATTTGCTTCTTTATTTTTATTTTTACTTTTTATTTATTTTATTTTTGAGATAGAGTCTTGCTAAGCTGCCTGGTCTGGGCTTGAACTTATGGTCCTCCTATTCCATCCTCCCAAGAAGCTGAGAGTACCACCACACCTGGCACTAGTATAGGATTTATTATACCTCATATGTGATGGGTTGTTACAAAGCAAACCCTCTCAAAAACAACTGATGGGGTGACAGTTGGTATGAAGTTTCTGGAAGAAATTCAAATTTTGATCTAAAAGCTATAACAGATTCATATGCTTTCACCAAATAATGGTCCTGAGTTATGCTATGGGGATCAGAGATTATGTCAATGTGACTTATACAAGTAATTTTTTCACAGCACTGTTAAGAATCCCTAAATACTGGAGCCAAGTGCGCAGCAGACAGAGTGACCACGTCCTGCTTCACCCAACATTCCTTGCTAAGGCCTGGTGTAATCACTAATAGTGTCTCCCTTCACTCTCAAAATTTCCCCGGTCTTTTGCAACAGGGCACGATCTCTGCTTCCTGCCTAAAGATCTCGACAGACGCTTCATAGAGTTCTTGGTTTAGTTTAGTAATCCCTCGTCGCTTGGTTTTGTTTTTATTTTGCTAAAATGAATATACGGCGAGGTAAACAAGAATTCTTGAGCGCGTATTGTAAGTGCTGGATCCCGTCTATGGGCCTGTAATGTAAAATGCCTCATTTGCTCCTCCAAGTTGTGCGACACTCCTGTTCTGCGTAGGAGGAGATGGGGGCCCAGAAGACTTTCTCAACTACCAAGAGGTTCTTTTGTCGTTGAATTGAATTAAAGTATTTTGCAAAACAGCTTGACATGTCTGTGTTTAAAGTGTCTCTTGGTGACTGAAAAGGTTCAGGACTCGTGTGACTGTTGAGGAATATGATGTCGGTGCTTATTAAAAATAACCAAGTTTCTGCCCCTGGATTCTAACACTGGTGACCATTCCATTCCATAATCTTGTTGGAGCAATGTAATTGCTTGTTCTCCTCATGGGGGAGCTGTAACTCCAGGGGATGGTGGAGGAGCAGCAAAAATATTTTAAAAGAAGAATGAAGCCGCATGTACTCACAGTTTGTATAGATGGCTTTCCGAAAAGGTTTGCCCTTGGAAAAGATAAAGGCTATGGTGACACAGTTGAGGGTAGCAATGGGCCACAGAGTAGTGCCCTCGAAGCTTAAAACGGAGCCCGGAACCAGAGTAGCATTTCCAGTCCATTTTCCTCCCAGACTCACATCGGTTGAGAAATTACTTTGGTTGGTCAGAAAGCACCCGCTGCAAAAGAATTGCCGATATTTGTAAGATTTTTTTATTCAAATTTTAACCAGTAAGTGGGGGGGGGCGAGTTTAATCGCTACCATGGGACTTCAGGTTTCCACTTGTTCCACTTGGTAATGACCAAGGCATAACTTGTTCACGTCTTGGAATTACGTAACAGAAACGAAATTCAGAGGAAGCCAGGATTGTTCTTCGGCCCTTCAAGTACAGCAAGTAATCTATTGTGAAAGGGCCTGGATGAGAATTTTCTCTGGAATTCTTTTTAATTCACAGAGTAAATGTACCATGTGAAATGAAATTATGTGTGTGTCTTGGTGTGTCTTGGTGTGTGTGTGTGTGTGTGTGTGTGTGTGTGTGTGTGTTTTGTCACTACGGTAAGCCTACCAAACTGTGTGCTGAGTTTGAGTGTCTGCACTTTAATCCTTTCTCCTTATTTAGGCAAATCTTCCTAAACATCCATGAGGTATATAAATTAAACTCCAATTTATCACGTGACCTAGAAGACCTACCGTTCCAGCCTTAACTTACCCTTCTGATCTTTTCTCTTTCTTCCCATGTTCCTTTTATACTCCTAATATATGCGATTGTTCCCCATTCCTCAAATACCACAACTTGAAGATTTGTTGAGTTAGACGTGCTACTTTCCATTAATTGAAATAATATTTATCCTTCAAACTGCACTACGTTAAAACTGCTTTTTCTGGGAAGTGAATCTAATGGGCCTCATTCTGCCCTCTGTGGCTCACTGTTTTGAAATTATTTTGTTATTTTCCACCTGTGAGATGCGAGTTGAGTATGGAATTTTTCTTTTGATTTTTGTTGTTTCTGTTTGACTTAAATGTGCATCGTGGCACTTTACACAATGGGATTACATAACAGTTACTTTTAAAAAAAAAAATTATTTAAGAACTGGCTTTCCCCAGCCTGACTGATCTATTTGCAATGTACTTCTTTTTTTTTTTTTCAATGCTGAAACCTAAAATACAAACCTAGTTTTCATGCTTGAAAGCTTCCTAGGTTTCCTGCTTGAAATTTTGTAATTAACATTAAGATGGTATACAAATCAGAATCATTTTCCAACTGAGAATCTAAATGCAAGACTTAATTCTTACTATCTCGGGCTCCTTAGGTACCAGATGTACTTCCCTACAGTAGTTCAGTTAACATTTGCTAAAGGAATTAATGAGACCAGCAATCAGTAGTCACGTTCTTACAGAAGGATGTACAGAGACTAGAGGCCCTGCAATGACAGAGTTTAACAACAAAACGTAGCTAGTTCTATCTGCTCCTATGGTGGATGAGTTGAGGGCAAGCATTGTGCAGCAACTTTGGGACAGAAGCAGGACTGTCCTGGTTTCCTGTCCTGCCACTGTGCGACACGACCCTGTCTCCTATTTCTTCAATCAGGATAGGGCGACTTTGAGCCTATGAGCTCCAATGTGGACAGAAACCTGGTTTTGAAACTAAATGGGATTCTACATTCCAAGCAGTAAACTACTGGGTTTGATACCCAAATAATAATCTTAGACATCAGTCCATTCTTTTCAGCCTCTGCTTCATTTATTTCTCCCAGTTCTTGGGCTTTCAGGATGACAGTGGAGTGAGGGGGAGTTTGTCCATCCTCTATTTCAAAAGCAGCAGCTCTTTTCTCACCATTTCTTTCAGAGCCGGGAAGGCTTCCCCAGAAACAAATAAAGTTTGAGAAACTATTGCATAGTTTACCTCATTTTACCTTTGATCCATCCTCAAGGAAATTAAAGCCCTGGAGGTGAAAATACTTGTCCTGAGATTAGTGTTTCAATTCAATCAGAATAATGATACTGCCCACTAGTATTTTAGTTTTAACACTCATTTGAAAAACCCCAAATAATCTCAGTGATGACTTTTTTTTGTATGTCTTTATGAGGGTCTGGTGAATGGTAAAATCCAACAGGTCAAATCCAACTCCCACCTCTTTTTGAAAATAAAGTTTTATTGGAACATAAAGATACCTACTTATTTACATATTGTCTATGGGTCTTTTTGCACTTCAATAGCAGTGTTGACAAGCTGCATCAGAGACCATGCAGCTCAGAAAACCTGAGCCATCTATTGTCCTGCTCTCTGTGAGAAATGATTACCAACCCATGGTCTATAGAAAACCCAAGCCATCAGCCAATGACTACGTTCACACAGCCACCCAGCTATTAGATCTATACATCGACCACCAGTGAGACAGACCTCCGTGTGTCTACTCCATATGGCTCATCCGAGCACTCTACCCAATGTGTCCTGCTTTATCATTAATGTTTTGCAGTGTGGTGATACAAATTTTGCTAATAACCATTTTAGAACATGTTCAAACCAAGTTGGGCAGTATTGCTGGAGAATTATCGTATCGATTTCAGAAAGGAAAATTATGAAATGGAACTCACCTGTAGAGGTAGACCTCACAGTACCAAGGCTGCTGCTTCACATAGAGAAAGGCGCACACCTGCACGATGCAGGTGAAACAGGAATTGAGGAAGACGGAAAGCAGCAAAGGGGGAGAGAGGAGCTGTCCTGCGGGTCGATAGGGAGCCAGCTGTGGGTAGGCATCAGTTGAACTCACTGAAAGACAAGTGCATTTCATTGTTCAGAATAAAAGACTGCAATGCGTATTACTGTATTTGGGTCTTGCTTTAAGATCCAGATGGAATAAACTTGAATCCGACACTGATGTCTACATAAGCACATTACTTGGTTGCATATCTGATTCTGACACCTTTGTCTCTTTCATGCTATTGCTTCTCCTTCTGAAATGAAAAGCAAGGGTCTACAAGGCCCTGCAATCAATATATTCACCACATCGCATGGTGCAAATACTTTTGCTCTAACCAGACAACCAAGGATGGTTTGTAAAAGAGGAAGATGACCTGTCAAATGGCCTAAAAAGACACTCATGTTACCTCACTGTGTTGATGGAATGTGGAGAGTTAGGATGAGAAGAACAGACAAGCATCTAGCTAGACCTGTCTTCATATGCTGGGAAATACATAGGAAGAATTTGCCTTGTCATTCAGCCAGCATTCTCTGATCCCTTCAGTCTAGCAGATATTGTGATAGATGCTAGAGGTGTGTTCCTTCCTGGATTTGTATGGAAATGCAGGGCAGCCAGTATGCATTCTGTTATTAGGGAGAAAAAAAAACTAAGAAACCTTACTTCTTTATGACAGTGTTTGAAAATATATTATATTTTTTTATTTTAGGAATTACTTTTTAATTTTCATTTAAAGGGATTAAAAATGGTCCATTAAAAGACAACTTTAAAAAGATGACTAATCCCTTTTGGGAGCTACACATTCTAGTGACAGGGTGAAAGTAAAATGTACTTAACTTCTCAGGACAGAGCAGGAAAGGAGCACGAGGAAGTTAGAATTAGAGACGTTACATTTAATATCACATAGTCGTGTTTCAACTCTTGCCTTGCTACCTGCCACCTCTTCCCTTTTTGCAGTTTATTTCTGATTTCTCTGACATAGAGGGGAAAGTAGAATGTGAGTGTTTGGGTTTCTGTTCATGCATGTAGGGGTAGGGTCGTAAGGAGCTGGTATCCAACTTGGGATAACAAAACTCTAAAGTAGGCCTGGCTTTTGTTCGATGTGTAATCTAGGATAATCATGTAAACGCTCTGGCTCTTCATTTTGTATATATAAAACAAATTTGCTGAAATGTTTAGGTGGGTGCAAAAGCCCCTCCAACTCATTCATTCCAAAGCTCAACTACTATGACTTTACTGCTTCCAGTCTAATCAGTGTTGCTTTTTTTTTTTTTTTT